AGTTTGTGGTCGATTGTGATTCCAAGGTACCTTACGTCGTTTTTCGGTTGTGTCGTTTGGCCGTCTGCAGTTATTGTAGGGGAGTCAGCGTTCAGTCTGTGGTTCGTGAGCAGAAATTGGTTTTTTGTCGCGTTTGGCGTTAGTTTGGTAACGAATTTAATTAATGATTGAAATACATTTTTAAAGCGTACTACCACTGGCCGTTGTACGGAAAGTGGCACAAACGTTGCTATTGCAGGGGGAATACTTTGTATATAATGGCTCATTATGACCCGTTGTTATAATTATAGCAACTTATCTTCTTATATTATCGACAAAAGTTGCCCGGGTAGAAGACGCTCTTCTTGGCTAAAAACGTACGACTATGAGCAAACATGCCTTTGGTAGATAGGCAAAAATTGGAAAATGTGATCGACATCGTCCGAAGAAGCTAAAACACATCAAGAACAAGAATTGGTTTCTAAATAATCCATCAATTTGGTCCTCGAAACAACATCCCTTGAACTTTTTACACAAAAACACCCTCTTAACCAGTTAAACCACAATATAATTTTCAGATTAAGGCATTACCTGAAAGCTTAGTAATCACCGCCAATCCATCCAGTCCACCATACGCACTCCAACTAGTGCAGCGGTTACTTCAGAACGAAATCGGCTTGGTTATCGTTTCCTACGTACATTCCTCAGTCGTCTCCCTATCCGATGCAGTAAAGAGTCTGAAGGAGTCTCTGAGCAGTTTCCAACCACCCTCAGGCGTGCCAGTAGTCAACGTGAAACTTATTTGGAAAAACAGTGAGCAGATTAGTAATGCATTCAATGTCTTTAATTTATGATACATATTTTCCAGTTGGATCCAACTCTGAATTCCTACTGTCGCAAACGGTGGTATCTGGCGAAGTGAATTTTCTAAGATTCCTATCACGGTTAACGAAAACCACACTGACGTACGAGAACGATTCGAATGCGCTCGAAGTTGACTCGCTTTTGGATCAGTGCTATCTTCTAGTGCGAACAAAAACCAAAGTGGAAAGAAGTGGCATCATTCAGTCGCTGAGTAAAGCGCTGGCTAAGGCGTCGTGGATTGCAGGAAGCAACCAAGCAGGCATAGTAGATGTGGCTGCCTTCTCAGCTATCAGACAATGTGGGATTTCCAACGAGCTCAACCCCAACTTGACCAAATGGTATCAAAAATGTGCCTCCTTGATTGCTTCTTAATATTCTGAAGCTTTAATAAACTATATTTAACTTGAGTTGGGTTTTATTGAACAAAACATTTTCCTGGCTTATGCGACATACGTGTAAGTAGCGGCATTATTACAGTCACTTTTAATATACTCCTTTTCAATCAGCAACCCAATTAGACAGATTCTGAGGACACATCGGTACATGCAACAGCATAAACAACTCGCTCACAAGTTCATTGTGAGTGATTACTTTCCTGCTTTTCAGTATCCGCACTATGGCTGCATCTATTTGAAATTGTCTGTCCGCCAAAACTCGCCTTTCAGTGCATTTCACCTCATCTACTGATTCCTTAAGTTGTGCCTGGTTGATTTTTATCCTAAACAGCTTTTCCTTGAACTCCCTGTTGAGTTCGAACAAGTCTTCCATTGTAACCGAACCATTTGGAGGATGTTTGACAAGGATTTGGTATTTTCCGCAGGAAAGTGAATGCAACGTCATCAGCAGGTCTTTCCTGTCCATTTTGGAGAGTTCCTCGATTTCTGCTGTGGTCAGTCGACTGCTCTCTTGGAACAACAGCAAAGTGATGGCTTGAAAGAAGGAAACCACCAGCTCCTTAACAGCACTTCCAAAAGTGGCCCTTAGAATGCAATGCCCCAAATGAGGTTGCCAATCCAACTTTCTCCCACTGTGGATGGACGTGTAGTATTTAGCGAAAATCGCCTGATAGGTCAATAGATCATCAGGCAAAATAATGCAGGAATTTGAAGTCATCTTGGTCCAGAAACTACTGGTGAGTACTGAAATGTCGCATTTGTCCAACAAGTTGTGCTGGGTGTTTGATAGAAACTCTTTGAAGTTACTGTTAATCTCTGCTGAGATTCATATCGCGCAGCATTCCTTCGATTTTCGATGTAAAACCTTCACCGCATTCCTCTTCATTTTCAGAACTATGCTGTGTTCAATGTCCTGGTTGGTCGATCTACCAAATAGTAATCTTTTCGATAGGCATTTTCTGTAGAAAGCTTCGAAGATGTCTTTGCTTTGAAGAAATCTGGAAAAAAATTAACCAGATAATGATGAAAACCTGCACATGGCAAATGGAGCGGAGAGGTACTGGCAAATTATGAGAATTTTGTAGAGGCATATGCAGATTATATTTCGCTGACAATCGCTACGAACTTCATAAAAAATGTACATCTGGAATAATCTTGCGAATGATCGCAGGAGATAAAGGCAAAGCTTTCTTTAAGGGTTGCTAGAAGCTGCAAGTTGATATATCATCGGTTCTTCGGCCGAAAATTGCCTTTAGAAGACTATAGTGCAAATGAGCGCGAAGTAAAAAACTACTCAAAGTTCGGGAGTTTATTGCGCAGAATCTCTTCCTTCAATTTTCTCCATATTCACATGATAATTAAAGAGGAGCTTCCTTTAGAAGTCCTAGAGGTCGAAAGCTGATATCTCATCTGGTTTTTGAGCAATGATCTTTTCACCTTTGCTATCTGCAATCTATTGTGCAATCTTTGCGCAAAGTAAAAACTGTTCTTCAAAAGTTCTTCAAAGAAGCTTTTCTGCGGATTTTCTTCACATTCACATGATAATGTAAATAAAGCTTTTTTAAGGGTTGCTGGAAGCAGCACGTTATTATCTCATCTGGTTAGTGAAAAATAGACATGTGAAGACTGTAGTGCAAAATCCGCGAGAAGTAAAAAACTGCCAAAGTTTCGGAATTATTCGCGAAGAACCTCTTCTCTGGATTATCTCCACAACCACATGAAAATTAAAGTAAAGCCTCTTTTAAAATCTGCCGAAAGCTGCAAGTTGATATCTCATCTGGTTCTTGAGAAATTGTATTTTGAAAACTGTAGTGCAAAATCCGCGCAAGTTAAAAAAAGTCCATAGTTCCGGAAGGAGCCTCAAAAAGACAAAACAATATTTCTGGCCGGAAAACATCCGTGATTAGGTAACGGAAACGAATTGTTTCAATGGTGAAAGATTTTACTGATAAACCAATTTATCAAATAAATATTCTTGGTGTAATTTGCATAAAAAATCAACCCATCGCAGTGGCGGTGGGTTAATACTTTCAGGGTGCAAGATTAAATATCCCAAGCGAACCACCATGTACAGTGACCCTTGTGGAGACACAAATCAGTGAAATTAACTATCTTACATGAACTATCTAACTAACTTACATGAACTCTTTAAACGATATTTGCCAAAAGAAAACTCCTTTCTTGTGCGTAGATAAATGTGAATAATGTAATTACTCCCGGTGGTAAGAGCGAAACCGCTTCAATATTAAGACACGACCGTTTTGTAAAACTCCATTGAACGCCCGAGGTCTGTTCAACTGATAAAAACTATTCAACTAAAGATAACTTGCAGGCATAGAAAATTTGGTACTTATTAAGCAAATTCGTTCTCTTTGTTCGAATCGTTACCTGAACATAATCATGCCTTTGTTGAACGTGGCCTCCAAATTCTCCTCAGTGATATTCTTCGCTCTTAATTTTCCATCAAAATACCTAGCGAGATATAAGGCAGATTGGCCACTTTCCGTATTAATCGTTTTATGGAAGGTGTTCTTGATCAAGTCGTTGAAAGTGGGATTGGCTTGGAAGCACTGAAGTACTATTTCATCCAGCTTATTCTTTAGATCGATTAAGTCCTGAATCAAGAATTTCTCACTAGATTTGCCAACAATGGTCAAGCATAGCTTTTGGATGTATTTTTCAAATTCTTCAGTCAGACATTTAATCGCTCCTTGCACTTTGCCGAATAATTGATAAAGTAGCTTCAACTCCTGCAGAGCATTACCATCAGGCGCTTAGAGCCATTGTTGAGCGAGTTTCTTCCGCTCGAATTAGCTTCTGCACATGCCACAAGTAGGTGCGGACTTCCATATTGTCCTGGCTGATAAAACTGCTCTCTTTTTGAAAATAGCCTCATCAATCAAGAGTTGCTCCTCAAAAATCCCCCGGTATACGCCAAAGTCCCTCAAGATGATTGTGATGAAAACCATGAGATCCTTGTCAACTGTAAAACCAGCACGTTCTTTGGAAACAGCCCCCAAGAGCTGAGCGGTGATTTTGGAGGATACAGCTGGGTGCGAAATAATAATACTCCTAAACAAGTTCATGCAGGTGATTGAGACTGTTTTGAAATTTAAGTCGTTCTGAATCGATCTGTCGTACCAGTGTGTACAGTAAATCTTCATCAGAGCCTTGAAGAAGCTGGTCCAATTTCTTGCTGTAATACACGATAGTTGCTTTATTGAAATCGTCGAATGTAGCTTGCCGTCGGTGGTACGTCACCAAAACCTCCACCATAGATAAAGACGAGACCTCCACTAAGCGAAACATGCTTTCCAAAGACACTTCAGGATCGTCTTCGTTAAGCAACAGAGTCAAACTGGCGGACAGTTTGAGAAGTTTTTCCTCGAGAAACATAGATAAAGACGAGAACCGGAACGAGAACGAGAACTTCAAGAATCGGTGCGCCTCGCATAGAGAATAATAATTATTTTACAGAGACAAGTCTTGTCTCTGTTATTTTACTTACTCTCATGGGGCGGCTCACTCATATTGACTTGCGCGGAACCAAGTTTTTGGTCCGAGGGTTACGCCACCTTGCTTCGCACACGCCAAACAGACATCAATATGACGAGTACAGGACAGTTTCCAGTTAAGTCAAGTGATTTAATGCACATAATATCGCCTGGAGGGCTAGTACAGTTTATGGCGTAGTTTCCAATTTCAAGGTTACGAGTGACAAGGCGTCTAATCGATGTAATCACAGAACATACCCCCTATATATATTTTTGGGATATTTTGTGGATGTAATCGATAGCATTGATGTAAACAACTTTAGTACCGGCCACAGAACCACAGCACAGAACATAGATGAAGACAACTAAACATACACACAGAACATACCCCCTATATTTTGGGGGAATATTTTGTGGTGCCGGCATGGTTTCTTGCTTTCTACAAGTGTTTTATGAAATTTTAAAAAATGAGTTCAATTCTTCAACGTTGCTGTGTACCTCAGTGCGATGATACATGTTCAAAGCGGTAAGCTTCAGCATTACTAGAATTATTTACATATTGATTGATAGAGGACGCCAACATGGTGTATGATACCTCATACATTTTTCGTATTTAAATTATAACACATAAAAGCAACATATTTTTAGGTGTACACTTCCTAGAAATGATAAGTTGAGAAGCATTTGGATCAGGCGGACTGCATGTGAACATTTATTGGCAAAATGGAAATTTCGTAGAAGATTTGTGTCCAGACATTTTCACGATGTGTGTTTCAAGACAAACTGGAGACTATTACTAAATTGTCTCCCAACAAAATACCTTCCAGGTATGTTTAAATAAGACTATCTTATGTCTTGTTTTAAAGAGTACTACATAAATTATTCACAATTATTCACCCCACATACTACATACATTTCGAAACTGTTCAAGGTGCCGCTTCCAAGGAAAATAGCTTCTTCTATCGAGAGGATGTATCATATCCTAAGGCACGAGGAAACCCGTGAAAAAGATTTCGGCAGTCAGGCACGTCCTTCGCCAAGTCGAGTCCGCTAGACTCGGTTATTTAAGCCAGCGAAAGTCTATCCTGGCAAA